TTTCCAAACCACCAGCTTCAGTCACTTGAGCTGACAGAGGCTAGCATGGTACCGGGAGTGCCCTGGGCAGCTAAGCCATTCCTGTTGCATGCAGTGGAAGGCTCAGGTGCATATATCAAGTAGGCAGTTTATTATGTTACATTATGTTGGCATTTAACTTGTGGACATGCAAAAAGTCAACTTCTAGAATCCAAGTCTTCCTCTTAGATAATTATATCCTTTTGGAAACAGTGCCTCAGTTTGGTGTTTGTATTACAGGGTAATACCTCTCGCCATAAAGGCAACTAAACGCTTAGTTCTTTCATAGATTAGCTAGAGTGTAATTATTTTTTTAAAGATCAGATCAATAAGCAGAGCATGTTGATTTCTAAAAATGTCGTGTATGCACATGTTCAGATTCACCTCTGATTTTCAGCGTACAAACTCCAAGAGTTGCGATAATGCTTAGTACTCCAAGTTGGGGTATGCGACCTTGTGTGTGGGGCGGTGGGAGTAGGTTTTTTTTGTTTTCTTTTTTCTTTTTCCCAGCTACATATCAGACATAGAAGACAGGACAGTGTCACATTCTGATGGGAGAAATCTAGTTTTTTTGGTTTGAGGTCCTTGTTTGAGAAACGAGGACTGGACAATGTCATGACAATGATTAAAATTTGCTATTCTTTGGACCAGGGTTAGGAATGTTTGGAGTACTAAAGAGCTGTAAGTGCTAAGACCAGTGCTTCCACTGCATCTTTCATCTGAGAATCTCTCTATTCTTAATGAATTTTCAGTGTGTCTCTGTGAGGCTGGTATTATTAGTGTCATTTTGCAGACAAGTAGATAAAATAAAATGCTTTTATAAGCACATTCAGCAAGCCAGAAAAAGGCAGGAATAGAATTCAAGAATACTAATGTTTCAACCTGTTTTTTGATCTACTATCTTGTACTTTCTCTTTTGCCAGAAAAGAGACTAAAGGCATTAATTTTGTTAGCTTCCCCTCGCTTTTTTTCTTTCCCCCATTGGATTAGGCAGCATAAAAGTGAGACATTATTATGCAACGTATCGAAGTGTGCATGTGATACTTGAAAAAATGGTAATCAGATAAGTTGCTAGGCAACAGTACCCTGCCTTCAATTACCAAAAAGTCAGTGAGTTTGCCTTCATGATGTAACATGTACCCTGTACTTCTTCATAAAGCAAGTGTAGGTGGAGTTTTGTAAGAGTTGCTCCTTTTAACTCACCTCTTGCTTAACCTGCCATATTGCAAGGTCAGATTTGACCCCAGTTTTAGAGAAAAGTATTTGGAGAACCTGAAATCCACAGAAAAAATGTTAGAAGAGCTCTTAAAGATAATGAAGCACATGTAAGTATATACTAAGTGAATAACCATTCCCTCCCATGGGTCTGTGGGTCTGTGACGGTTCAACAGCTTACAGAAGGTAGTCTGTAACTCATGCTTGGGACCATGAAAAATAAGAAAATGGTCGAGAGATTTATGTTAAAAGGTAGATGGTAGGGATATGTGGCAAGCTGTGAGAAATCTTTAAAACACTAACAGTGGGCTGTTGGCCCAAAAATGTTGAGAGCTGTGGTAAGGCACAAAAACTTGAATGTAAACCCAGTTGGTTCATTTTCATTGCCTTAGCAGGAACAGAATGGAAGGAACATAAGCAGGGATGAGTATGCATGGAGGAAAAAGTAAGTGAGAGTCTAATAATGTAAGACAGATCTAGCAGTACGAGGGAATTTGGTTGTGCGTTTGTTTGAAACCTGGGTTTCATGTCTTTTTTTTTTTTTTTTTTAAGCAGATTGCAGGATAACAACAACAAAAAATAAAGACTCTTGGCAGTTATTCTAAACGCGTTTCTGCTTTTGGTGATAAATAGCCACAGAAGCATTTGCAGATGCTGTGGTTGTGTGGGGCTGTGGGCATCTGCCCAAGCCTCTTCAGCGATTGGGTTGCAGCATGGCTTTTTAAAAGAAATCTGAAACTCTGGAGGTCTAATGTGCTTCTCAAGGCTTTGCCAGAAGTTTTCAGTAGAGGTAGGGGACCCACCTGGAGGTATCTGGGAAAGGATGTGCCCAGCCTTGGAAATCACTTGTTTTCCTCGGGTAACTGCAAGTTTTTGCTTTACAGAGTTGTTTTTCCAATTATTTTGTTGTTGTTGTTGTTCCAGAAGAGAGGCATTTCCTTTTCAGGAGGTCGGGACTGTATAGCAGTGCGTGCCTTAGGTACATCTCTGAGATAATTCAGTCCTTTTGGGAAATTCAGCCAAATCTACCATGTTTTGCACTTTGTGCACCAGCCTAGGTTCAGAGGTGTTCAAGTCCCAGCTGGCCTGTGTGCAGGTTCAAAAGTCCTCATCAAAAGGCGGATTGGGACTTCGGCTGAAAGTGAAGTCTGCATCATCCTCTGTCTAAGTCCTGCCAGAGCAGGGTGCGTTTCTGAGCAGACAGATGCTTGCTTTCTATTTCCAAATTTGGTACTTTCCTTCCAGGAGAATCCCAGATAAGTCACAGAGCAGTGTTGTGACTTGGTTTCTCTGTTGGACAGTTTATCACCAGGTAGTTGCATGGACTTGAACTTTCTTTTTTGGAGCACTTTGGAGTGAAGTGTAAATACTAAAATAGAAAGCTGAAGGAATGCTCAAGTAACCACTTCCCAGTCAGGAATTTGCTTTCCTTTTTGTTTGCTTGTTCTTTGTATTCTTATTTGATGAGTAGTCCTACTGGATTATGCTAATGTGTGGTCCCCAACCTGCTGACACCAGGAATGTTGGTGTCTCTGTCAGAGGAACAGTCCGAGCATGGGCAAGTGCTGTTTCAGGAAGCCTGAGTCTGACCTAGTAGTGGATTTTAGATTTTAACTATTTCTCTATATGCAATTGAATGGTCGCACCACTGTGTGTGTTTGTTTTTTCCCTTCTACAAACATTACATCTTTTTAATCACTAGTATCTCAACACAGAAAGTTAATTTATATACAAAAGAAAAAACAAACCCCTTAAGCTGTTCAGAAAAAGCGATGTATTAATCATGTGAGCTTTAAGGTCTAGCCTTTATCTTCAGTTCTACCTCTCTGCTTACGTGTGTTACAACGTAGTCTTTGCTAATGAAGAGGTTCTTCAATGACTATTTTCTTTCAAGTGTAGATACATGTGTAACTAAAGGTATGGTTTCTCCAGCATTTTGAATTCATAGAAATGAAGTTTTTTGTGAAAAAGGAACTTCTTCCTGCTGGGCGGTGGCCTGTGAGCCAGATCTGAGAGGTGGTACAGCTGAGGAGTAACAGGCATTTAGAGTAGCATGGGGGGTAGCATTCAAATGGCTGGTAAATTCCTTGGTCTGGCTCCCAGTGAAGCCCCCTGGGTAGCCTGAGTACTGGTGCTGGGGAAGGGGCTGAATTGAGTGGGACTGCATTGTCCTAAAGTTAGGTTGGCTTGAAGCCTTTTGTAATGTTCATATTTCTGCATTGAAGGAGTTGAGAGTGTGTGGGAGGTGCTTATTTTGTATGATTTTGTTCCTCACTCTTTTGCAAATCAAATTATAAACAAATAGATCTGACTATGTAAAAAGCATTCTTGGTGTTCTTGTGATTCTAGGGAAACTCTCTTTAAAATTTTGGTTGCATGTGTCTGATAAATAGTTCAGTAGAAACCTATATCCAACCATGACAAAATGCGTATAATGAAAATAGAATACATGCAAATAATTTTTAGGAACATCAACTTTAGAACAATTTATACCAGAGCTAGGTAACAACCAAGGTCTTTCCCAATTTGGTGTACAAATACCTAGCTGTTAAAATAGCCACTATTTCTCAGGATAAGAGGAACTCCAAAGTAGATGCAAGCCTCAGTACATAGGCAGGAGGTGCTAAATGTGTCTCTATAATACCCATGTTACATTGATTTAATTAGTGGTTTTATGCTATTCGTCATTCTGTTAATCTTGGTGGGAACGTTTTCTTGGGGGAGGATTAGTTATTTAATCTGCATTTTTAATTAGAATGTTTTTGTAGTTCAGTGTTATCTGAATAAAAACAGTATAGGTTTGGTGTGGGATTTTTTTTGTTTTGTTTTTAAAGAAAATGTTTCTCTTGAATTCCTGTTGGATTTTGGTGATCAAAAACTCTGAGATTCATTAGGATAATGTGACGATCCCATTTGTTACACAGTCTGACACATAAATGCCCTTGCTTTAACTTCTTCACATGCAATTAATCCAGAGAAATGCTATGTATAGACAAGACCTTGGAGTGTAAGATCTGTGAGGCTGACATGAGTACGATGTTAGATACTTCTGTGTTGGAGCTGGCACCTTGAGGCGTGACTTCTGTGAAACTTGGGAGCATGGCATCTTAAATGTCAGCACTTGAAGAGAAGGAGAAGTACAGCCCCAGCTCACGGGCTGCACTTGCTTGGGTCATGCAGCTGCCCGAGCCCAGTACGGAGGTGAAAAGCAGTCGGGTCACTGGAGTGGGGGGAAGAAGCAGGCTGGGGTGGCAGGTGGTAGCAGTGGCAAGGGCCTGCTTCCACAAAGGCCACACTCTGTCCTGGAGAAGAAAAGTGTGATGATTGGAGAAGTGAGGAGGAGAGGAGGTGGGGGAGATAGGGAGGCAACGTTAGGAGAGGGAGGATGGGGGTGAAACGAAGTCAACGGTGAGGCTTACTTCAAAAATTGGCGGATTGGCCAGGAAAATAGAGATAAAGCACTTTCTGGTAAACCCTCCAAGGGTTAACTGAGACCTTGCTGAGGTGGTGTAGCAGTGAGGAACCTTTGGTCAGTGGGCCCCAGTGAAGTTGCTCGGTGTGTTTGCTGTGGCTGGGATCCAGAAGGACAGTGGAGAGTCGGAAGGCTCAGCCTCACCAGATGACAGGAGAGGGAGCTGCCAGGGAGCTGCCCAGGGTGAGGGGCAGGTACGGGTGCCCTACCGTATCCATAGACGTAGCTCTTCCAGTGTTTAAAGCCTCTCTTGCACTGTGCTTCGTTAAGATTAAACTGTACTTCTTTGGCTTAGGAAGGCTGCCTGGTTCGTGTATTAGCTGTTGGTCACACGCACCTCATCCGAAAACGACTGGCTTCTGAAACGGCTCAGACTTGCTGGAGGCAACCTAGTCAACCCGCGGATGCTGTGAACCAGGAGCTGACCAAAAAGCGGGAGATCTTCAGGATTCCTCCCTGGAAAAGGTAAGGGCCAGAGGGTAAAACTGGTGGGAGTGCACTTGTAGACCAGAAAACCAGAGCAGTCCTCTGAGTACAGAGCTGGCTGCGTTGTAGATGAGAACTTTGAAATATAAATGTGTAGAGCGCATGAAGGATGGTCAAAACGTGAAGTTATTTCCATCGGTTCAAACTGCAGGTTGCTTTCTGGAAGTGTAAGTAAGGTTGCCATTTGCACACATTGCCCTTGATTTCTGTCTGCTTTGAGTCACACCGTTCTGATGGCTTGCAATTTATATTGTGAAACTTATTCCTGTGTTATTGTCTCTTTAAAACCTCACACTCGGATAGCCTTAGGCAGTTAAAACAATCAGGACAGTGGAGCAGTATCTCTGAGCTAAACCAGAGCAGTAGGTGAAGAGCGGAGGGTTGCTTTCTCTGGTGGTAAAAGCACAGGTGTGAGTTGGATGATGAGGAATCTATTCCTGGCCCTAACAAACAGTGTAGTCTCTGCACCTGATTCACCAGTGTGTTACTCTACTAATCTTTTTAGGCTCATCTTGCCACTCTCCTGTATCTATGGCAGTCTGTTACGCTTGCACAGAGTGGATGTAAAATGCTATCAAATTGGAAGGGTGATTTATATCCCGGAGCAAAACTTTATATTTATGCTGGTAGATGGGCTGGACATTATGGCACCAGAACGACAATTTCCAGACCTGCGGCATTTTCAGAGCACTGTGTGTGTCTGCAGTGTGCAGTGTGATGCCCTAAGAGGAGGTTAAGCACAGGTGCTCTGATACAGCTTGCAGCAGATCAGGCTACAGTATTGTTTTCCCCATTGCGGATAAGGTTTCATGAGTAGGTCATGCACAGTACTTTATCTCTAACTGGGAACTCGCTTCAAATATGTAGGTATTATATGTATAAAATTAGGATTCATGTAGCACCTTCGTCCCTCAGCCTGTCCTGTCTCAGGGGTCTCATTACCTTCTCTTACTGGTAATGCCCAAAAGATCCTATGCCTAGGGTGTTCTGTTGTCCCACTCTTGTAGGTATTCTTGCTCTGATAGACCCCTGTCCCTCTCTGAGATGGGGGGGCGGACCCAGTCAGCCGCTGAAGGAAAGCAGTAGACTTAATTGTGGCAATGCTAACAGTGTGGATAAGCAGGGTCAGCTGCTGCCTTGAGCTCCAACTGTGCTCTTGCTGCCCATTGTGTAGCTGAATATGGGGCTTCAGCTGGTCAAAAGTGTCACCTACTGAGCAGTAAAGTCCAGACCAGTGCTGCAAGGTTATGACAAAGCAAGTGTCAGCAACTTCCCGGGAAGGGTGCTGGTGATGGACCAAGCCTTGGAATGAGTCCAGCCGTTTTGTCAATGATGCAGCCATGAGTACTTCTGAAGAATGCTGTGTCTGGCAAGTGCTCTGGTGTATGGTACGGTTGCTGCGAGCAGAGCAAATGCTGCTTATCGCCTGCCCTCAAGAACCACCAAAGGAAGCGCAGACATCTCCTATTACTGTTAAAACAAAAACTGAGACCGTATGGGCACAAGAAAACATAGATCCATTGGCAGGAGAACAGGACTATGAATTATTCATTCCTCCAATGCCTCCTGTATGTTCCATCCACTCGGGCTGTTCAGGATGCTGTCTGCTAGAGATGCAGACAGATCTGCTTCCAAAGCCATGGGGACTCGACCCTGCAGACTGTGATCACCATTCCGCCTAGCTTGTCCTCCATGAAACTGGCTTGTGCGTTTTTGTGACATCATTGAGAACACAGAAGTAACCTTTGATCCTCCTGTGGGCTGTTGGTAGGAACTCTTGTAACACCAACGAAACTGGGATGTGTCTGGTAATGCCAGCCTGGAATTGGCTGTGAGGTGAGGGCAGCAAGTTAGGACCAAGATGGAAGCACTGACTGCTCTGGCCCATTTTGCAAAAGGGAAGTGGAGGGGCTACATCTTTTGTGTAGTATTGCTTTGCTTTTTGTAAGAAAACTTATGCTCTGTCAGTTTGTTGCTAGCTCTGGCTTGCTGAGAAGCCAAAGCATCATCTGTGAAAAGTTCCTGAGCACAGGCAGGACTTTTCTCTCCTTGCAGAGTGCTTTAGTGGAGAGGAGTGTATTTAAATGGCTGTTTGGGAACATCTGTGAAATACGTAGTTTTTCTCAATTCGTTTACTAGTGGGCATTTGTCTATGTAGTGAGTGTCAATTGGCAGCTGAAGTTGAGAGACACTGAGGACTTATGGAGCTGCAGAGACTAGATTCTCCTCCGATTCTTCCATGAACTGCTCTCAGCTCAGGTAAGAGATGCCCAGTATGAGAGAAGGTGTTGCTGAAGTTTTGTTCAGAGGCTGTTCCTCAGCATAAAATGCACATATTTAGATGCAGAGGGTTTTTTGCTCTTTTTTTTGCTTTTTCCCATCTGCTGGTTGGTATGAAGATTCCTTCAGCCATTTCACATACCCAGGCTGCACAGGGCATGCCACATTGCAGGCTTTTGAGCATTTTTCCCCATTTTCCTTCTTCATCTTCCAGAGTTGCTCTTGGCTATTAGGCTTTTGCTGACAGATACTCAGATCTTTAGTGCAGGAAAAGCTACCTGTAACTAGCAACTGGTGTAGAAATGATGGGCTTCTTAAAGCCAAAGTTTAACCCTTGCATTTACAGCTGTCTTGTAATGTTCCCTACCCCATTTTGAAAGCACTTCAAATGCTCTTAAAGAGCTTTGAGGAAAGGAAGTGAATGATACTTCAGTCAAAACAAGACACTATAACTTGTGTCCAGAGCAGTTTTCAGCTTCTCATTATGCCAGCCAGCTGGATTTGCCCTAGACTAAACCACCTTTGGAGTTGCCCTAGTCCAGAAGCTGAGGGAAGCTGTGGAAGTTAAGATAAAATTCCAGATTGCGTTTGAAGAATCCTCACTGAAAGAAGTGGTGGAAGCATCCTGGGGGAAGATTGCGCAGCTGGGTTGAGAGGTGGGGTGGGTTTCACAAAGAGGGCTCTCAAGGAAGAAGGGGTTAGTGCTGAAGCAGGTAAAACATGTTTATCCTCCTGTGGTCTTGACAGAAGTTAGAAGAGAATAAACTGGAATAATACTTTAAATACTTAAATTTTTATTTATTTATTTATTTTTAATCAGTGAAAGAAGTAGACAAACAGAGCAGGCGGTGGATTTGTGGTTTCCATAGTGATGTGGCTGTGGAAGCTTTTATACAGCTGAGCTTCGCCCTCACTGCAATCACACTTTAAGGCTATAAGTATTCAACTTTCCTGCCGGGGAAATGTAAATATATATCAAACATGGAAATGACTGAAAATGCAACTGAATATTTGTGATTTGTTGTGTTTGCTATGCTACCTGAATATGTGGATGTTGGGAAGCTCAGCTGCATCGTGGCTTATTTCTCCATCTGTTGTCCTGCACTGAAACAGTGCATCAAACTGTTGTAATACCACCATTCTTGCTGCACCAGGCAGTGATATGTTGCCCTGTGTCCTTTGCTTTCTCTCATCCATACACACACACATCCCACAACGCTGATGCCTGTGACTCTCGGTTCACCCACACTTGATTGCAAACATGCAGTGATCAAGAAACATATGCCTAACTCTTTCAGGGACTGCTAACTGATCAGAACACCACACTGTGAAACTTGGAGAGGTGTACTTCATGCTCTTTGTAGCCATCACCTCACTTGTTCCTATGGGCCACAGAAATGAGCTGCATGTGACATTAAATCATGGTTTATTTTAATGGGCACTTTGAGAGTGTTTTAATAGTCAAAACATATGACCATCAGGCAATTTTTTGCATATAGAGTGAGCTGTTTGTGACTGTGAATGGTTGAATTTGAGAACCTTTAAATCTGGCTTTCAAAATAAGTTGGATTGCAGAATTTTTCAGCATCTCAGCTGATAGATTATCAGTGGGTCATAGAGGTAGAGGAAGGAAAATGCTCAATGTGAATGCTGGATGCATGCATCAGACAGGCACATACCAGTCCTGCACACCCACTTGCATAGTCCAGTCTTCATGAGTCACGGGCGTTTGTGCCTCGTCTTCTTCGTTTTGTACTCGTATTGCTGCTGGATGCTTCTCTTGCTATCTCCCTGAACAAATCTCCCTTACCTTCGGCATTTATTTTGCTTGTCTGATGGATGTAATGGGTCATCTGTTCCCTTTGTAGAAAGGAATGTTAATTATTTTCAGAAGGCTAGTTAGATTGCTAATGAGAAGCTCTACTGCAGTAATATTTCCTTTAATTACTCACTCTTAAGTGCTTTACAGAGAAGCTTATTGAATATGCTTTTAAATACAAATGCTTGTATCTGGCTTAGAGATGCACCATCCGTGTATCTACCTTGGGACTGACTTGGGAAGGTCCTCTTGCTTCTCCGTCTGAGTCCTGGCTGCTACTTGCTTCTCTCCTTTTTTCACCCTTTGTTGTAGAAATCTCGATGCCTTTTAGAATTGCTCTGAGAGCGCTACTGTATTCTAGATTATATTTTAGTTTTAGTTTTAGTACTCCTAGGGGTTGAGAGGGGTTGGGGTGGATCTCCAGCATCCCCTGCTTTTTGAGTGCTGAGCCTTCATGCAGCTCTGCAAAAAAGCTGCATTTTTTGGCAGTATCCTCTGATGTCCAGTCCAATTCCTGAGTCTGCTCTTAGCCAGACTCTTGGAATTCTTTACACACTGTAGCTCTACCAGGGAAGGTGGTGAGGGAAGGCTGCCAAATGGGGGCCACTTCCAGGCATCAGAAGATGCTCCCTATGCTTATATACTGATCATCATAGACCCAGTTGGAGAAGGAAGATCTGTCAGTGTTGTGGATGCAGTGCAAAACTTCATACGTTGTACTGTGCTGTCGAAGTATCCAAGTGCAGGTGATTCTGAAGAGACTTAGGCATAAGAAATAGCCAAGAAAACTATTATCGGCATGTTACAGTAAAAGTAACCCTCCGGTTCTTTTCAGGAACAGACGTACACTGCTAGAACAACTTGTATCTCTGCTTCACAC